AGGAACAAGGAAACAAAAAGTAGAAATGGAAAGCTCAAGTAATGAATAAGGAATGGAAGAGGAAAAAATTGATGTACAAAGAAAAAGAAAGTCCAAGTACGATGATGGAGTTCCCAAGTGCTTTACTTAATTGCCCAATTGATTTTTGGAAACAAGTTAGGTGTTGGACTTATTTGGAAATTTCCTTAAAGTCGGCTAACCAAACAGAATTATTACCAAAATTTTTCCAGATTCCCTCTCCAAAAACCTTCCTAAAGTCGGCTATAACAAATCAGAATTGTTCCCAAAAAAATTCCAGATTTCCTTCTCTTTTGAAACCTTCCAAAGTCGGCTGCAAAACAGAATTTGGTAGCTAAAAAAATTTCCAGATTTCTGCTCCTTTTAAACCTTCCAAAGTCGGCTGCAAAACAGAATTTGGTAGCTTAAAAATTTCCAGATTTCTGCTCCTTTTAAACCTTCCAAAGTCGGCTGCAAAACAGAATTTGGTAGCTTCCTAACCGCTGATGAATTTCCAGATTTGTTACCTTATCAAATCAGAATTGCTTCCACGAAAATATTCCAGATTTCTTGTCTTCTTGAAGCCTTCAAAAAGTCGACTATCCCTCACTAAAATTTCCTCTCTCCAGCCGCCCTTAGCTTGCCAACAATTCGGCCTTTCTCCTTCAAGACGCAACGCACAATTCTGTTCTCTCTTCCTTAGACAAGGCCACGGCAGTTTTGTTTCTTGTTTCAAGGAAATGGCTTGTCAAGACAACGAGAGTATTGTCACTCAAGAGTCCCCCAAGCGGCTTGCTCAAGAAATTCCCAAGAGATTTACTCCTAAACCAAGGAAGCCCCGTATGGATGCAAGAACGTACAAGAAACTTTTTATACGAAGGCAAGTGCAAGTTTTTAAGGCCCAAGATAATCAAAAACCTCAAGCAAGGGTTGTTCAAGTGATCAAGACGCAAGGTGTTCGAGACTTTCAAGAAGAGGTTGGACAGAATTTTTGAGTTTCTTTTCTTTTTTTTTTCTTTTTTTTTTCTGGTGTAGTTTCTAGTTTGGTTTGGAACAAGGAGTAACAAGACAGCTTGGTCAATAAAATTTCGGCTTCTTTCTTTGTTGCTTGCTACCCGAATGCCTTTTCTCTTTTCTTCCTTCTTTTTTTTTTGACTCTAAAACACACAATTACTCGGCTGTTTTTGGGTAAAATTCCAGAATGTTAATGTCAAACCAATGTTCTCCTTCAATCCTCCAACAACTATCAAGACATGTATCAAAGTTTCAAGACTTCAAGATTAGTTTCAAGAAACTCAAGAAACCCTAGATTATGGTAGTCCCTCTCCAAGATTCCAACCCCAAACAAGTTCAACCACAAAATCAGTTTAGGAAATTAATTAAAACAACTTGGTGGAATAAACTAAAGTTTGGACAGATTTGGCAAGAAACTTGCGCCCAAGGAAACCCTAGCGGCTGGATTTTTTTTTTTTTTACTCTAAACCAACACAAAACTTCAAGAACAATATAACAAGACACCAAAATAAGAAAGAAACACAAGTTATGAACAAAAGTTTTTTTTTTTCGGGATGAACAGTGTCACTACAGTAGCGGTGAACAGTATCGCTACAGTGCGGCACGGTGAACAGTATCGCTACAGTAGCGATGAACAGTACGATGCTACAGTACCTTTTTTTTTTTTTTTTTGTAATAACAATCGGACTTGACACAAAGGAAGACACGACCAGAATTGCAAAAAAAAATTGACTAGAAAGCTTACGATCAAACTCAACGGGATATACTTGATGTCGTCGACTAGCTCTGGATACCAACTGATGTGAGACGGATCTAGACGAACACCAAGTTGGGATGATTTGCGGAACTTTGACCCTTCTAGAATCACGAGCCACGAACTAAGGAGATTCCTTAACCCACGACTAGCTACTTTAGTGAACCAAAAGTATAGAAAGAAGAACGCCACAATCAAGGAGACTACTTGATTGATAAGTTCGTTGAACAACTTGAGATTGATTCTCAAGTATTCAAAGGAAATTCTCTTGAAGCAAGAGAGAGTGAATAAACTCACGAATATGTTATAAAATCTGAATCTGTCCCCTAATGAATGAAAACCTAGGCTATATATAACCTTACAAGACAAAACCCTAACTCGGCTAGGCTAGGCCCTTGGCCCAATTCCACTACTCAAATCCACTATCTAATGGTCAGCTTATAATTGATCCAATGAAGGCTTTAAGCTGGCCCAACATAACCCAATAAAAGCTAATTAACCAACTTAAGTTATAGTGAGCCTAGACTCTATAAATCGGATCCAACTCAACATGAGGTCTCGGACCGAATTTATTCCTAGCAAATAAAATAGAAATCTAGAAAATAAACTACTAACTATTACTAAAACATTCAATCTCTTGCAGCCCAAAACATGGCCCATAAGCGGCCCATATTTCGTATCATTGAGTTTCACAATTAATGTGATTGGCATCACTCAAGCTTTTGGAGAGAAATTTTACCCCCATGTCCTCCTAGGTCTAGGTTTTGCATTCATATAGTCATATCCAACATGCGATACATACCTTGGGTAGAATAATTAGGAAAAGTGGGGCTAATTCACGCAACTAGCTTTGGCTAGGGTAAGGGAGTGCCTTAGGCTCCGCCTTTGCCTTCTTCCTTACCAAATGTGACCCCCGATCCCTTTCTTTGGTTACGTAGACCTAAAAGTTTTTTAAAAAGGGTTTATTTACTATTTTTCGTTCAAAAACAAAAAATCATTTTTGGGTGACTTGGTACACCCTAACTCTATACCAAGTGGCGACTCCATTTTTCATACATAAAACCCTTTTGAACTTTACTTGACCAAAACCGTCGCATTTTACAATCCCACGGTCTTTGCTTTCACTTCTACACACGTTCACACACACTACACTACTCTCACCATATCAAAAAGTGGGGCGCGACATGAGCTTGTGTGCTGTAAGGAATTTCTTTTCTTTGTTAACCAATTTTGCATGTCACTTAACCATGCCTCGTGGAGTTGCATTTCATTCATAGCATCAAGAATTTTTGGAGTACAAACCTTCCAAGAGGAGGGGTTTTGATCACTCTAGTTCCAAAACTTCTTCGAGATTGTCACATTTAGAACATGGGTTTTGTTCACATCGGAGGGAAATGGATCATTTCCGTGCTCTGTGTGTATATGAAAGATATAATTATACTTGTGATGAGTATGAGAAGAAGAAAAGAAATTTGTGTCGAGCATCTAAGTCGAGGTCATCCTCAAGCAAACAAGATTCATCTAAGGAATGTCGTGACAATCGAGTCATGGAGTCTAAGAATTCTCGGATTGAGTCAAAACCTCATGAACCAAAGGATGATTTCCGAAGTTGGATGGGTTGATTCTATGAAAGAGGAATTTAGACAAGTGATGAATTCATGCTTCAAGCAACTTCATCATGTGTTAACCAATGATAATCAAGGAGATGTTCTTCTAGTCCACCAAGGAGATGTGAGGAAATTGTTGTAACACATAAGAGTGTGAGTAATATTGTAGAGCTTGAACATGAGGTAAAAACCGAGGGCAATGAGTTAGAACACAAGATGGGAAATTCTGATGAGTTGAGTACAAAATCAAGTGAGCTACTTTTGAGTGAGAATGTACAATCTTATTGCTTTTCTAACCAACTTACCTTTGCTTTGTTTAGTGTTTCTTCTTTTATGTAGATTAAGCAAAGTCAAGTGGAGTTAGTCATTCAATGTTCCATTCCAATGTCACTGGTACACTTTGCAAGCTTCCATGAAGTTTGTCCTCTAGGAGTTAAATCTCTTTGGTATCAATTCATGGAACAATGTCAATAAAAATCTATACGCACAAACAGAGAGTTAATTTGAGCTCATCTTGAAGGGAAAATTCCAGACTTGGATTCTCGTTCTTTAACTTTGGGTCATTCATCGTTTTTATCATATTTTGAGCATAATTTTAGTCCTAACTCTTGTCATTTTTATGCATACTTTGATGGAGAGTATGACAAACCAGCAAAGGCTAATCTAGCGCATCAAAATGTCACAAGTCACGCTTTATTGAGGCACTTAATATATTGAGGCACATACTTAGTGTGCCATGTAAAACCTATGTCACAAAAGCTTTTTAAGGCACAATTAAGTGCCACGACACAGGAAACAATGCAGACATTTAGAAGTGCCAACACAAGGTTATAATGGTTACACCAAAAAATGCCTTAATTGGGATTCAACTTTCAAGAACTCAACTTTTTAGAGGCACAAAACAATGTCATCTTAACTTTAAGTTGACACTTAAAAATGCCTTAACAGTCCGTTCTTGAGATAGTAGTGTTTGTCACAAAATGGTTGTTATTGAGGCATGCAAGTATGCCACTATATAGCTTAATGTAGATACTGGCAAATGCCTCTATATCAACCTTTAAAAGTGTTTTAAAATGCCTCAAAAACCTGCTGTGTAAAAAGAAAATTTCTACTACGAAAAACCCTTATCGTGACACTTTCAAGTGCCTCAATAGATTGGAATTTTTTTTTTCTTTTTTATGCCCAGCCACAGGTACTGCTGTGAATATAACATTCCTATTGTGTCAATATAATCGTACATTCATATTCGACATCTCACATTCAATGACCAAAATCAGCAATATTTGATTGAAAATCCACTTTCAAATTATCACCATAACCAATAATTACAATTAAAGTACTTATAACTCCTAGTAGTTTTCCAACCAACCAATTAAACTTTCATCCTTGCAAAAAAAAACATAATATTTGTTTTAACATTCATCAAACAGCTAGAATGTCCTACTAATTGTTTGCCACGATTTCACCAAAATAGCACTAGATAAATTAAAATCAACTAAACCACTAGTAGACCAACTTCTTGTAATATGTGCAGCAACACTTTGTCCTTTTACAGTTAGAGCACTTCCATATAAGTGGATAAGTATCCATATGCTGCAACACCTTGTCCACTTTTGAATTTCAGCACATCAATCTTCGCAAATTTTTACCTATAGCATAAGTATATTATGTATTAAAATCTATCGTAATTATCAAATGAAACAAACATATCAGATATTAACAGTTAACATAATTTGAAAGCTAGAAAAGGAAAAACATACTAGTTTTGTTGGCCGAGCACCAATTGAATCAGCAATTGTCTGCAAAGGCACATAAGGCCTAATCAAATGCTCATCACGTTCAACCACAACTTGAACTAGTACTTCACACCAATTCGAACCTAGTGGTTGGCCCCCAACTATTGTAGAAGGATCAAGGGATTGAAGCCGTCCAATTGCCACAACTTTTGTTGGCTCATATAAGCTAAAAAGAGAAATCCAGTCTCCCTCCTACATGAAAATGCAAAACTCGAAACATCAGAAAACTAACCATATGCAAAGCAGTCACATCAAAATTCCAGTCCATGTTGTGTAGTAAGTAACATTATAGTAAGAAAACTATGAATCATACTTCTACAAAAGTCCACAACTACTCAAGAGTAACATGTAACAAATACAAAAATAACTAAACTAAAATTGCTTTCAAACTGTAATAGCAAAACATATCTACATGGTCGGACCATTTCAAGGAAATCCCTTTCAAGCAAAACAGCAAAAGTGTTACTAATATTGATACAGCCAGCAGCGCATATCAAATGTCTATCGAATAGCCTTTGGGATACTCAGTTAGCATATTTCCATCAACTCTACGCTTCAGTCAGATTGGAGAAATTAAAAGCTTCAACATTACAGTTCAAGTAATAAACACAGCACAGAGAAATGTAATCTTTGGTCAGCATCATCTTAGTAATCTTTGGTCATTCATGCAAAGAGTAACATGAGATAAAAATAAAAATAAATAAACTACAATGCTTTCATATCGTAATACCACAACATGCCTAAATATCAGATCATTATCAAGCAAAGAGGACTGGCATTACCGAACAAATATATTAAAAAACTTACTTTAAGAGGTCTAAGACTGGAACTTGAGGTTGAGATATGATTAGATGATGTTGAAGTGATTCTTGATTGATTCAGCAAGTTATGACCATTTTGTTGCTCTAAATAAGCTTTCAGATTAGCAAGTTCTCTTGCTTGATCTTTAATTTGTTCCTCTTGCTGAGCAAATTTTGCCTTCATCTCTAACATTTCATGTTTTTGATCCAACACTAGTCGCTGAGATCCACTTCGACTAGGTTCATCACCCCACACATCAGTTGGACATATACCAAAACCATACATCCGTACATGCCCATGCTTGTCTTGCCCAACTACTTGTGCAAATACATCATTTTTTCCAATAGGATCTTCAGTATCAGGAGGCAATTGACTAACCTTTTCATTCATTGCAAGCTGCAAAAGTGTAAAGAGTAAGACAATGATTACATTTGTACAATCCTAATATAGATTAGAAAGTAATGGATAGATCTTTCTAATATATTTTAAAGCAAGTAAACAGCATTTTACACCAATTGCTTAAGCTTTCAACAAATTATAATAGAGGTCTTAATTACGGTTTAGAAAAGAGGAAAATAGAAAGAAATTGAAAAAAGTAAAAGAAAATACTAGCACTTACTTCTCCCCGTTCCCCTTTAGGATTCTTTAGATTGATTAATCCATTTCTTAGGTCGATTTAATCAAACAAATATAGAATTAAAAAAATTCATTGCATCTGTTGCCTTGGCTATTATTTCATATGTTTAACGGTGCTGCAACTAGTGAGAGCTAGTGAGCTACAAATATCAGAGATAGTGATTATCTCTGAGATTGGGAGAAATCAAAAGAAAAGAGATTGGGAGGACAGAGAGCTAGTGAGAGCTACAAACTGATTGTGAAAGAAGAGTAAACTATCATCAACATAAATTTCTAGAGACATCTTAAGTTTACTTTGAAAACCAACATCATGGCAACCAACATAAATGGATCGTTAAATATGCGCAAAATAAGCCACTTGGAAACCAAAAATGATCAATTATCTTCGACATCTTGAACCATTAAGTGCTGCACTTAAAGATTAACAAAAATCAGTCTAATTAAGTTCATTAGCAACTGCTTGAACCAGGTTTATACTGATTTCTGGGTGCTGATTCTGATTTTTAAAAGTTTTTATTGTATGAAGCTAGTCATCATGGAAAGCTAGGTAAGGGCTGAATACAAATCGATGTCACCAGCAGCCCTTATCGCTTTGGAGGGACACACAATCTTGGCTATTCTATTGTCTTGTTTAGGCATTTGTTTTCCTATCTCACTCAATTGATCTAGTTAGAAATTGTACAAGTTTAGCCACATATATGCAATTATCCTAGAAGATAAAAGAGGAAAAGTAAACGGAATCAAAAGACAAGCAAAGGCTACTAAACAAAGGGTATCAAACATGTTTTCTGAGAAATAGATGAAATGCTTCGAAAAGACCTTGGAAATAGTTTGTTAGCAGTAGGAATCTTGGATGCAATATATCAACAACACTCTCAGTCAGTACAACTTTTATTAGTATGGAATGGGGAAATGGTTATATACTAAGTTAGATATAAAACTCAGTTATAGGACAATATGAACTTATATGACTCAATTCAAAGGAGAAATTTTTTCAACTAGTTTGCTAGTCAGATTTCCAATATATTTCACAGCAAAAAATTTACCTGGACAAGAGGAGAGTGTAAGGTGTCACCTTTCAGATATATTAGTCTGGTGGCATATGTCTAACCTTATAGAGAAAAAGGTACTAAAGAGTACAGAAAGAAAATTTAAGAGTGGCGTTATTGAAACATTGGCTGTTATCTTGTGGTCGATGAAGAATAAATTTTTCTTTTCCTGTTTTTGGTATACAAATTTAAATAGTTGAAAAATAACTTAATTAATAGTCTACCCACTTAATTAAAGCCTTCTCATTTGCACCTAAGAACTACTTAAAATTAGCGTAAGTACTTAATTTTGGTACTAGCAAGCATGACAGATCTACCTATTGTACTGTTTCTTTTCTTCTTTTTAGTCTTTATGCTTTACTTAGCATTCTACCCAATGTGGAAGCAGTGCGCTTTATTGCCTTTTCTCTGCTTTCTTCTTTAGATCCTGCAGTATTATGTGTTTTCAGTACACTAATTTTGGTAGAATTTTGATCTAACTTCTATTATATACAATAGTATGCCAAGGATTTTTTTTTGCTAAAGATGAAGAATGCTAAAGGTTCATTCTTTAACTCTTTCTCTGCAGTTTATTGGGTTCTCATCTTCATCCTTTGCATTTAGTAGTACTCTCCAACTACAATAACTACAGTACATAAATTAATTAAAAATTAAGATTGGACCAGTGCTAGGTAACACTCACTATGGTCATACACAGACACAAATACATATATATAGATATAGAAAATTATGTAGACAGATGTATTAAGAAAATATACAAGACACACGAGAGTCCTTTTACATCAAACAGATCAAGAATTTGTTACAGGTACAATGACTTTATTCGTATTTTAAGTACAATGACTAACAAATCACACAACAAGCTTACTTTTGCTAATGAACCAAAAATGCATCACTTATCCGAGAAAAAACTTTCAGAAGCACATAAATGAAAATATATTCTAATTCATAAACCAAAATGAATTATGATAGTTTGATGCTTTCATATCTAGCAATAGCATTTCTTGATTACGGAGTGGCCTTATTCACCCTGCGTAGCTGTAAAATATCAGTTCCATAAATATAACCAATCCATATTCCAAAATTTTGTACCTCACATCATATCCCTGTTTTCAGTTTCTCAAGAAAATAAATAATCGTGTTCCTGAATTGTATTACCAAACTTGATAGAAATTGAGAGAGACAGTTCCCGACAGGAAGACAAAAAAGAGACAGAAACAACCACAAATTCTGACATGGAACCCAAAAACAACAAACTCAAACAGAACTAAGTAAACCATCTTGATATCATGATTGAATGACTGACCTCAATTTTGGAAAGATCGAAGCTTTGGGGAGATAGTTTGAGGGAAGAGGACCGAGAGAGAGTGAGTGCGGGAAACAGATGGGTCAATGAAAAATGAAAGTTTTGGATATGGTAGATTGGTAGAGGACCGAGAGGGAGAGTGAGGGAGAAAGACCGGCATTTGTGATTTGGGATTTGGGGATTTGGGATTTGGGACAATTTTGCCGCTGCTCTTAGGCGCCAATTTGGAGCATTTTTCTGTTTTTTCATGAAACAATTTGCCGCTTCTTTCCGTGGATAATTTGGGATTGTTTTTCCTTCTATTAGTTGTTGAGGCACATCTCTAAAATGCCTCTACAAATTTTTTCTTTATATTCTTTTATTTTCAGTTTTTCTTATAAGATTTGACCCTTATACATTGTCTTTTTTTATTTAATTAATAAGTATTAGTATGGCAAAAACTACCTAATGCCTTAATAAGTGTTTATTTGAGGCATTTGCTTAATAGTGCCCTAACAAGTATGCCATAATAGGGAAATTTTCTTGTAGTGACACATGAAGTATCAAAGGAAGTTTTCACATTTAAATCTTGTTGTGAAGCTATCCGTGAACTTCCAGCTTTGATTAAAAGAGTGCAACCTGATTCAAAACAAGCTGCAATCCACGATTTTTTCAGTCTCAATCAGCTCGTGGATTTGAGTAGTCTTTCTTCACCTTTGATGTCTTCATCATTCCCCTGTTCACATGACGATAAAGCTGTCGAATCCATCATATTGCTACCAATAAAATTTGAGTTTTATGCACAACTTGAGTTCGTGAGCATCAAGAGGTTGTCTAGACACTATGCTACTAGGATTGTCTTCATTTACGTGATTCCATCGTTATTGCACCTTAAGCGATCCAACGATATAAGGGCAAATCTTTTCAAGAGGAGGGGAACGATACGAGTCCTAAGAGCTGCCTGTGCCTTATTTCAAGATTCGCTCATAGTTCGTTGGGGTCCAATGAATAAAGTTAAAAACAAGTGCACGACTTTAGTAAGAACCATGGGAACCGTGGCTTAAGACCTAGCTAAGAGTCAAGGATTGGTTATGTTTATGTTTTTTGATTTTTGGTTCATGTTCAGTAGGTCATTAGTTAGTTAAGTACACGGCTAGGTCAGGTGGACCAACGTTGTTAGCCGAACTTGAGTTAATTTTTGTTTAGCCAAATTTGGTTTAGTTTAGTCCTTGTTCTAGTTAAGTTAGAAGTTGAGTCTTGTAAACCTATGAAAGGCATCATTTTCATTCAAATAAGGGTAGGTGATTATGAATAAAATTGTGAGAGTTCTTTCTCTTTCTTGTTCTTTGGGAACATTCCTTGATACAAAGTGAGTTGTCTCTTTTGTTCAAGTTTGGCTTATCAATTCAAGGCTGTATTGAATTGTGGCACCTTACTACCTTTCTAAACAATCTCAAACTGTCCTTGATTGGTTTAGAATCCATCTTGTGTATCCATAACTTGATCAAGATAGATCCTTCTGCTGTTTGTGCAACTCATTTCTTCAAGAGCAGGACCTTGGAGATTCGAGTTTGTTTCATATTAGCTATCTAGAAGCCTTCTGATATTTATCCAGAACTTCCATAACACAAGAGAGAGACTTCTTACCATTATTACAAAAAATAATGATATCATCCACATAGGCCAGATGTGTTAATGAAGAACATCCCCAAGCAACAAAATACAGAACAAAGTGTGGATTAACCAACAATGAATTTAAACTCCTAGATAACACCTGTGACGACCCCACTTCTCCCAAGGGCGAACCCAAGGGTATCGGCGGGCCGCCTGCCTAGCTCGCGCCAGGACTCAAACCTTAAAGCGATAAAAACCAGAAAATCCAAAAGAGTACCTTACATACTATATACAAATCCCAAAAAGGTTATAATTACATTCTCCAAAAGTACCTGCTCAAACTATTACACCCTTATAATTACAACCAAAACTAAAAGGTAGACCCTAAGGAGGGTCCTTATACAAACCACCACAATAAAAACAAACATCCTAATTGTCCAACTATGACAAACCAATACTAGTGTAAGTGCCCATAAGTCCCCGCGTCGGCCCCTGCTAAGGAAAACAAAAGGAACGGGGTAAGCTATATGCTTAGTAAGTAAACAGGGGCAAAAGCGTAAATGTCACGTAACCACAGTTACTCAATAAGAGTAAAGCAAAAGCAGAAAAGTAACATCACATAATAAGGATACAGGTGGCTCCAAAGCCAAGTCGTTGCCATGCGTGACCTCCTGTCGACACTCCGTCGACCATACATAAGGTCCGTAGAACTCCACTTGTACACCCACCGAACACCTTATCACCCTCACTGGCCAGTCACCTCACAAACTTGCCCAGGCGAACGAAATCACAAACTTGAGCTTGAG